ATATATATATATATATATATATATATATATATATATATATGGCTCAGGGGGTGACCGGAAGGTCTTTGGTTCCAACCCAACCTCGATATCTTGACTGCTCTTTTTTAGGTCTGGGCGACCTGACAGTATTTCAGCCCTCGTGCTTCCTTCGGGTCGCGAAGCAGCTGGGCACCGAGAGCGTTTTACAGTTGAACGACTATTATTATATGCATATGCAATCCTTCAGCCCAAAGGTGTGCAACAGTATCAGATTCAAGTCTGTATAAGCCACCTGAAGACTCGCCGTGTGCCTGCGTGAAATTAAACTAACTTATCTACCTGCATAGATGCTGATGTTGGTAGAATTCTCTGCTAGACCTGTACCAAAGTATGATTCAAAAGCTACCAGAAAGACAGTCGCAGATCAGACGTCAAACATTTGATTGCGTATTGTCAGCAACCCTTTGTGTGTATGTGTGATTCGAACCATTAGGTTGACTCAGTTGATCTTTTCGAATCTTTTCACCTAAAGTAAAGCCGAAAGACCTAACGACAGATGGAGGTTCATTAGCCATATCACATAAACTCCAATTGTGCTCACAGAAGCATTCGATCATGTGACCTGTAGGAATTCACCAATAAGTGTCCTTTCAACAATGTGCGCTTGGTTATATTCAGACCGCATATGTGACTGAACAAAGTGAAATCATTATTAACATATCGCAGCATACGTGTCCTATCAATCCTGATCGGACGTTGTTCTGTTGGTATCTCTGGCAGCGAAGCATCAGTGTTGACGTTATGCTGTGCATAATGACGGTGGCGATGTTATCTCCGCGTGATCGCTTCATAGTGGAGACAACACGCGAAAGTGCTTGTGTAATTTCATAGTGGTTTCGTTTCGGTTTTGAAAACCAAACAAAGCATAATTTTTGAATGTAGTGGAGGCAGTTTCTTGTGAGGAGGTACTCTTTGCTTGGGACATGATCTAAATAATTGAGGTTTGATCGCACGGTCGTCCCCAATTCCCTCTTTAACGAAAGATCACATTCACCCAAACCAGTTGGATCGATACGTGTATTTTTTCCTGGAGACCACTTCATTCCCGATACTTTTGTCAGAATTTTTTTGCTTCAACTGCGGTCCATATGTAGATCGATCCGTGTTGCTGGGAGGTGCAATCGATTGTCCTTCAGGTACGCGTTCGATAGATAATTCAATCATACGGAGTTTTCCAGGTACATTTATTTTCCCTTGATAGTCAATCCTAAGGCGCATGGAAATTATTTTTGGTAGATTCCGGATGATGCTGATATCCACTTTGTGCAAACATCTGAGGATGTTTTTTCGAGGATGCCAGCTCCACGCGGGCCGTTAAATTTGGATCGTCATCTATCGTAACTAAGAGTCCTGTGAAATTCATGGAGTTTAAAAGGCGAAATCTTATAATGGGATACGAAGGATATCTCGTTTGAATAGTTTGAAAAATGTGAACTCATATCATCGGGTGATTATATGCTCACGATCCAGCTTTCTCAAGGTCTTCGGGGGTCGCATGTGATGTTGTGCCTTGTCCCACCCCTTGAACCAATCGTTATCAGTTTGGCTATTGTGTGATCCTTGGGTCATTTTTATTTTATCTTGTACGCAGATCGTTGGCCAGATCGTTTTGTGCTACGTGTGTGGTTTCCACGTGTGGAATGATTTTAAGTGTCTTCCGAACTGCTTAAATTCTCACAGATGGATTAACAGAGATCGGACGTTCAACACTAGTGTTTCTCCTCAGATTGGCTGACTGAACGAACATGGACAGACTTGATTTGTACATTGCAGTCGACGCTGTCCAGACTTGCCACACATTGTTTATAGTCACTGGAGTTCTGATTCAGTCCTTTCAAATAATGCACTTAGGAAATGCAATCCGCCACCCTATGTTGTTGTCAAAGGATCTTACCGAATAGGCATCAGATCTGTCAATGCAACTGCTGTTGTGAACATTTGCCTTCGACGAGTTCTCAAATAATACTTTGCGGTAAGAGATAAAAGCCACAGAGTTATAAAATTATCAACGCTCTCATACAAGTATAACCATTTTAGTTTCTCAACTGAGAGTGTTTTTGGTGCAGTGATTGGTTGATGAGAGTATCTTCAACGCCTTCACGTGACGTAGCTGTTTGTGTGAGCGGTTTGATGAGTATATTGGTAACACCTAGGACTGTTTTCACGGAAGTCTTCCAAACGCGTGCCAGTATGCCAAGTACCCCAGTCAGATTGATTTAGACATCTATATCAAATAAACTGCAATCCAGGTCTTTGAGAGTCTAACTTGCCTCGTTCCACTGTTTGATGCAGATGCTCAGCAAATATGTGGTTTACACAGTGCAGTAGGCCTCATATAGTTCACGGATCATGCGAAAACGAAGGGATGTACGTTTATGTTCCATCGTTCCCACTTGTATCAAGCCACATGGTATTTATAAGGCGGACCACTACCTGGGCGTCATGGTAGGAGCCATTAGGCTCCGCCGAGTTGTTTCGATGTCAATTTTGTCTCTTAAAGGTAGCTTCATATAAACTAGCATTTCGATACTGTCAGGCAATCGCTTTCCTACTGGCTTGTCATAAACTTATCCTACGGTGGAAGTTCGGATCGTCACTGCTTTGTAAGAATGCCGTATCAAGCTGTGGCCACTAGACTGTGCTGTCAGCCTCTTTCGAGCCACAGTTTGAAGTCTTGTTATGAACGATGGTGTATGACGAAGATGCCGAGATAGCTCAGTGATTAAGGCGCAAACTTACTGCCCGGAAGATCTGTGCTTCGAACCTATCCTCAACATATCATCTGCTCCTTTATGGGGGGGGGGTCCGGGGCAAGATGGCTCAAGTGGTTAGAGCGCGAATTTATTGACCGGAATGTTTGAGCCTGACCTCTGCCCCTCGACTTCCTCTGTCTAGGCTTGGGCAACCTGGCACTATTCCAGCCCTCGTGCCTCCTTCGCGTGGCATGGCAGCCTGGGTGTTACAGCTGAACTATTTTTTCTCCTTTATAGGTTTGGGCAAACTGATAGTACATAAGCTCTCGTGCTTCCAGCGGGTGGCATGGCGGTTGCGCACCGAATGGGTGCTACAGTTGAACGTCTAATATTAATATTACGGCGAAAGTTTGAGTTTTTAGAGACGCGACCGCTTCCTCAGTCGCGGTTACTGCCTCTTTTTGAAACCCATAACATATCGAGTGCAACTGACCTCTGTCTTGAGCTGTCGCTAGCATCTTGATACTCAACTGATCCCTTCAGTCCCGCAATATTCTTTAAACTGCTTCCTTGTCGAATTGCACTTAGATACCCAAGTGGAAACAGGACAACACGCTTTTGAAATAGAAGCCATAAATTACTGTCACATGTGTTAAGCGTCTCGCAGCTAATCAACATTCAAGTTGATCCGTCCAGTTCAAAGGTTTTTTCGGTATCACCTTTCATCCACGACTTGTGCATACGAGCGCTCGTTTCTCAAGACCAAAAGCACGAAAAAGGTAAACAACTAGCACAGCTTGTTCCTCACGACTTAGGAATTCATTGTGTTTTAGGTGCGATATATAACTTGACCGTGGGATTATTGCACGTCTTTTACCTCAGAGGTCATTCAACAGAAATACGGTTGTCGATAAATCGAGTCCAGATCGCCCTTCTCATTCATCTTTCCTGGCACATTGCTTCGGAAGTACTTTGAGCCAGTGTGAGATCTTTGTGTCTCCTTTATAATGTTATGATAAATAATTGTTCGACTGTTAAACCCTTTCTGTCCCTAGCCGCCATGCCATTCGAAGGAAGCACGAGGACTAAAATACTGCGAGGTTTCCCAAGCCTAGACAAGAGCAGTCGCGATGCCGAGGTTGGGTTCGAACCACAGGCCTTCCTGTTAGTGGGTCAGCACCTTCACCACTGCCTTATCTATAACTCTGGTCAAATGTAACTTGATTTCAAATTTGGTAATCGAGGGATTTTGTAACTTTGTTTTACCTTTCCCCTCTCTATAGAGGTTGTGCGAACTCGCTTGCGCGAAGCGAACGGACGGTACCGCGGTTTCTTTCGTACGCTACGTCGAGTTTATGTTGAGGAGGGCTATTCCGGACTGTATCGTGGCATGGGAACTCACTATATCCGACAAGTACCCAACTCTTGTATTATGATCGGAACCTACGAAATGGTTGTCTTTCTCCTTCAGTCCTGGGGTCTGACAAAGATCCCCTGAATAGATTTCAACGTTGACTCTGTAGTCCACCTTTGTTTCCTTGAAATCCCTTCGGGTTCCGTTCAGCTGAACTGTACGCCCAGCTCTTACTTGATCTTCGTCATCTCACACACTACAGAGAGGACCAGTTGGCTTTTGTACTCCCTGCTTCATTCGCACACACACACAGAGAGGACCAGTTAGCTTTTGTACAGTACTCCCTGCTTCATTCTATTCCACAGATTCCCTCCCAGAGGTACAGTAAACTGACGGTTACTGCACACCTATCCATTTCCGTAAGCCTTCTCTAATTTTTGTTCGCAGTCGACTGCCTTCATTGTGAATACTACTCATGTTGTCCCGCTGCTTTTCTATCTAGTCTGTCTATCAGTGTAAATGTGGCTACAATTTTCGTCAGTCGATGTCATCTCTGTCTTCTCGAGACTATTACTTTGCTACGGTCATGCTTTTTCAGTCCATTCTGTCACACTTGCACGCAAGTTGGCATAGTCTCACCTATCCGTCTGTTCCTTCTGTCTTTTCGAAATTTCAACCCATATCTTCCTAACCAGAGGGGGAGAGTTCCATTGTTTTATTGAAACCTGTGATTTTGTTTGTCATGCCCCGCTCGCCTTTACGGAATAAAAAACTGCACGAAGATGACTGTTTTCTCGGCGATCGGGGATGCTAGGAGGGTGCTAGATTTTTAAGTGGACTGTTCTGAGTCCTTGCACCTTCCAGGAAAAGGGTAAAAGAAGCCCCATAGTCACTTTATTTTTCTACCGTCCGATCTTCATAATTGATAAAATTAATGGGAGTCGGTAACATACACGAGACTCGTTCTCCATGTTTCTTCCTCAGACCACGCGTTGCTTTCTTGTGATATTCGGCGGTCAGAACAGCAGTGTGAGGAAATCACTCATCGACCCACAGAGAAAGCGCATGACCGAGCCGGTCTGACCGTCGCAGACGAATCAATCCATCATTTGGTCGAACAATCGACTTTTTGCCAGTACTCATTTCACCCCTTCCAACATTACTTGATGTGCGTGTAATGGTCAAATAGGAGCGATCTTTTTCATGCAACCCACCGTAGGTGATTTTTCACTGCTTGGGCATCAAGTTATGCCAATCCCCTCTCCGATCTTGGCTCGTCAGAAAACCATTGTCTGGATTCATTTGGGCCACAGAATCCGAATAATGGTCTTTCGCAAGCACTTATCCGTCGATAGATTGGTCACGTTTCACCGCAGTGCATTAGTGAAGATAACGCGACCGCCTGACCTACTATGGTGCCAACAAGCAGGCGTCCGATGCATTTATATTAGCGGCCAAATGTGGTGCTTGTTTTCTCAATTCCGTGAACAGAGTGCAATAAAGTCCGCACAGCATGTGATCCAACCGTCAGTCGTGGTGAATCCGAAGTAGCATCAGGGCACAAAACATATAATGTTTAGAAGCTTAGTGAGTTATCGTTAAGGTCAGTCAGTGCCTTGTCTGTTCTCGTGATCCAAGGACATTCAGACATTCGTGAAATAACTTTCTGTGGTGAGGATATTATGGTTGGTTTGCACGTGATGCTTCACTTTGTGTATTTATTCAAGTTGGAATCTCAAAATATTAGGTGCTTGCAAACTACACAAAGGATTATGGCTGATATCTTTCTTTTTGAAGACGATTGCGACTTATTAATTGAATGGAACCTGGGAACTTTTCCTGCCTAGCGGGTGTCTGGTAGAGGGAACGATAGGAATGTGACGTTAGAAGTTCGCATGCGCAAAGGAACGGATTCTTTTTTTGCGTACAGAAACAAGTTAAAGCTTATTTTTAACAGCAAAGGTGAAACTGGCCGATAACCTTGGGAACTTGACTAGGCATCGGAATAGTTTCAAGGCTGTGAACGGAGTTGAGAGTGAAAGATTCCCGAAAATAAAGTTGATAAGTTTCTTCTACCGAATAGAGACACGTACGTTGATATGCGTCACCGGAATTTCGTGTAAAGATCAAATGTATCGTGCGGCCTAAATCGATTAAAAGGCGTGATAGCTGAATGTTAGACAAGTTAGCCCACAAACAAGTTTACCTGCAGCTTTCTCAATATACATGGAGGTGTCTTGAGTTTTCCGTCAGTAGTGTCCGATCAATACTAATGCTGCTTCCATTAGCATCTTCATATAAGTGCGAGATCATTCCGAAACTACGGACTACTGGTTTAAAGTATATGGTCACTTGGATTTGACACTATCGAGAATTCAGCTAAAGCTAACAGACGACAGTGTGAGTAGATTTTTGAACTATCAATTGGGGTTCTGTCCTCTAAGTGAAACCAGCTTATGCGGAAAAGCCGAGAAGCATTTAACAGCTGTTTCATGCTTATTTGGAATCACGAGGAGTGCATACCTTACGAAACTTCGCTATTGAGTCTCAAACCGGCCAGCAGTTTGAACGTCCGGTTGCGGCCGAATGGTCAACAGTGCGATGGATTCGCACTTAGACAGGTCACAACACTAACCTTTGACTCGGTAAAAGTAATTTGACGACACGACCCGCAGCATGCCGTGACTCAAATCTAAACATGACTTGAGGGTCTTTCAGAAGTTCAGTTCGTGTTTTTCAGTCTGACTGTCTCGCATGCACCTTTCAGGGCAGCTGAACCTGATATCCAGTTGTCTTCAGATTTATAGTACAAGGCTAGGTTAACTGCTAAATCGTCCTAAGTTCTAGATAGCCATCAGTACTGTCAAATTGCCTGAAAACATATGGTGTTTAAAACCGACTTATGCGATGAGTCGGTTTCAGGGATTCAAATAAACTTCGAATGATTCTCTTATTTGCAATGTTTGGGCAACACGAATTTCGCTTAGAGGGGTTAGGCTGGAGAAGTCTTTTTCCCTATAGGCAGTGTGATCACAAAAGAGATTCATCTATTCGAATCTCCCATCCACAAACTGGCAGGACAATTACCTCCGTTATTGATGCGACAAAGTTAAGCTCTTTCTCTGGCCACTATTTGTTAGCTATCAAAATATAAAAGCACGGGATCCGCCTCTAGAAAGTTCAGAACGTCACGAACCTCAAAGTTTTATCAGGTTTTATGGTTGGCCAATATCGTGGCCGGAAGCGAGTGTCTCTTCTAAGTTAAGTGGAAATTTGTCCTTGGAATAAATTATCCGTTGGGATCGTCACCTTGCTCCTAGCATCGGTGTTTTGAAAAAAGTTTGCTCACTACAATGTTGCCTTTGAAACACCTTATTTCAGTACACAATGGTCTGATCGGATATGGGCCACTTATGAGACTCGGCAGAATGACCTCCATCTTTATGTAATAGGTGAATGTCCTTTGAGTTGATGTTCATTATCTGAAGAAATTTCGTTTCTATTTTCGCCTCAAGCCTGGTCAAACTAGGATTTCCTTACAAGAATCGATACAATAACGGCCGTCATGTCATCTTCTCGCGGAAACTGATTGTCCCCAGCAATCGGTTGGGCGACGCTAAGTCACGCGCAAAACCCCAAAAGTCAAATCGTCCAAATGAATGTTTATCAACAAATGCGATATTATAAATATAATAATAAAATTGTACAAACCTCAAATCGTGGGGTTACGTCAGCCTCTATACACCAGTTCAGGAACGCTAATTCCAACTGGGATCCCAAAGTTCACACTGACTCAAGGTACAGTGACTAAAAGATGAAACCCACATGGCTGATCTAAACTAGCAGTGCAGTGACGAGGTGAAATAGCGGTTTTAGCGGTTTACGTTCCGGTCAAAACAAGAAAGCGGTATAGACGCAAAACGGGGGATCACGTTGCACACAGTAAGAATAGAAGAAAAGAACCAATAGCTGGGTTGTTACGTCACAGGACATCTCTGGAATAGATGTTCTCCTGAGGCTGAAAGTGACAATGCATTCCATTTCTTTGACGTTAACTTTGTCAGACTATCTACAGGTTCAATCCAGAGATGCATAAAGACGAGACAGTACACAGACTTCCATAGTTTGGTGTCACTGAGTCAGAACGAACCCCGATTTACAAATTAACAATTCTAGCAAAACGAGGATACACTGAACTCTCAAATGAAAGACGTTGTCAACATGCAGAGAACTAACGTCTATTCAGAGAGGTTTATAGCCGACCTATCCGAACATCTGTCCCGGTCGTCGTAAAGACAGTCAATCTGAATCTAGCATATAAAGACCATATTGGCTTACAACCAACACCTAACGTAGACCTCAAATGTAGGGTGCCAGTACACGCCCAGAATATATTTGTGTATTCCTTCACTTGTTGTTATTCAGCGTATGGTGCACAACACGTCAACTTGCTAACGGTGTGGACCTCTGTTGTCGGGATATCACTGGACCGAGCAGTTTAGCCAAATGCTCCATCGCGTCACATGATTAACATCGGTCACGTGATCAATCCGAACGAGTCGTTTCCTGTCATCTACTGAGTAGTGAACAGACTGTCGTTATCGGTTCGAAGGCATCGCATGATTACTAGCAGAGCAGTCGCAATACGATTCCGAAATCCGGTATTATGCTATCGAAAGCGATTCGTACGAGCGCTGAGTCTGCCTTGATCAGTTGGCACGAATCGATAGGTCCAGTCACTCAGCGGCTCTCTAGATCATCTCACAGCATCCAGTCAGATACGATCTGAGTTACACTGATAATCTACCGTCCAATTTCCTTACATTCTTTATCAGTAACCAAACTTGGTTTCATCCCTATTTTATTCACTATGTATGTACTGACCTGATAACGAAAGTCCAAAAAACATTACTCTTCGTCAGTGTGTCCTTGTTGAAATTATAATGGTATTTGAATAGGTCAAATAAAAGTCGTACAATTGAAGTGACTTCAAGCGAATTAGAACACCAAGAATTCAATTTTCTTAGCGTTTTAATTTTCGTTGTATCACCCACAAACAACGGGACTATTTCTTTCCATGATAATTTGAGTAGGTAATAGCAGGGACGAAAGGCGGCGAATAGAGCCTAACTTTACTCTCGAACGTTTTGGTCTGCCTCAGCAGAAACCAGTTTCTGTATCAAGCAGCGCTAGTATTTCTTATTCCAAAGTAGTAGGATTGAAGCCTCTGAAATTCTCCTTTTGCCTTTGTTAAATTCACGGCATCAGATCGAAATGGTTGCATGAGGGAAGTTCCCTTGTTTTAGACTGCCAAGCTAGAGTGGGACACTTGTGTCCGTGACTTCCAGTTAATAGACTCTCTTGTAATATTACTAAGAAGATCGAGTACATGATGAGTTCGAATAGAAACTAGGCTGAAAAAATAAAAGGAAAATCCCAGGAATAAGGACTCCAATCAAGGAGACAATTTTTGAAGAACAAAGCACTTGCCGTCGCTGCCTTCCAGAACCGAGGGAAGACAGGTTTCGCTCCCCCAATTGTTGATTTCCTCATCAAGGGGAGATACTACAGGGGGAATGTCTTACATCGTCTGTCCAGATGAATCAACTGACTGTGAGCAGTGAGCTGTTTTTGACCTGAATAGACACACAACAAACTCATCTGGATTGAAGATTATGTGGCTACGGGACAAGAGGTAGAAATACAACATCGCCATATCTGATGGCGATATAAGAAGATTTGGTAATTTTCAACTGAGGTTTTGTCTTGCCATTGAAG